AAATTCTAATATTCCTCAAAATTTAACTCTTATTTTATAAAAATTTAGGATGCTACAGACATTATATTATGAATTGTGGTTTTTGTGAATGATTTTATTCTACTATGAACTTTACTGCTTTATACCATAAACTTGATATGGTTGTTAAATGTTACTGTTTTCAAAATCATATATGTTATCTTATAAATTGGGACTTACCTGTTTAGTTTATAGTTTCAAAACTTTGTTTGGGTCTAAGGGGGTTATTATGAACATCCAACGATAATATTTTTTAGATTTCATTGTTAAGAAGGATTCAAAGTTAGGTGAGCATGTATATTGGGATACGACAGCGGATCAAGATGCAAAATTTTAGAGATTAACTTTTAGTTTACGAGTTTTAGATTTGAATGTTTAATCACATTATGGATGTTATTTAATTAGTGTTGGTGAATTTTATTTGGATTGGATATAACCTTAAAGATTGTTTTCTATTTAATTTTGGAGATTTTGATTAGCTAGATATGAAATGATGAATGTTTGATTTACATGACTTATTGGAATATAGTTAGTTAATAACTGAATGTGAATTTGGGGTGTTACACCCCTTCATCCCCCTTCCCCGGAGTTCTTTTATAAGTCCAGGGATTAGCTTCCCTCAAAAGATAGACTCTGAGCTCGCTTGTCGTCTATTTAGGAGAAGAGAGTCCTATTAGGAGTGGATTTTAGACTCCCTCCTTTGTTTGTTGAGAAGATAAGATTCCTCTTGACCGAGAAGTCTTTGACTTGCTCACCTATTAATAAGGGAGGTGAGACTCCTTTGGTGTAAGGGGTCTTAGGTCTTGTATCCTTTCAGAAAGATGGTGCTAAGTGTTCCCTTCAATTTGGGATTCATTTGATTTTCAAATTACTCATAATCTTATCCTTTGGTTTTTTTATCAACATTCAACAATGTGGGGCAGAGTTGATTACTAGGTCTGTCGTAACTCAGAACTCCTCATGCCCACCTTAGTGGCTTGCAGGTCACGTCAAAGCTTTCCTCGAGATGCTTCTTTACTAAGCCAAATTTTTCCTTATCATATAATATGAATATTTATCGAGAAAAGATTATTAATAAATAATTAATAGTATAAATTAATAGTAATATAATGTTAGTCTTTTTAAAAATACAAACCCATTTCTCCTTCTTATCAATGACCAACACTTCATTAACCGTTTCTCTCTTTGATGCATGACCAACACTTCTTCAGCCGGTTTTTGTCCCTCATCCATGACTAAATTACTAAATAATTTTTCTGTTATATCTTATGTGTTGGAACATTGCTTTGATACAATTTGTTGGTTTTACACATCATCCACTATACTATCAGCCAAAAACAAAGATTCTGAATTATTATTATTGTCCTCTGCAATTTTAGTATGATATCCTTATTATCGGGTCTTCTTAATCTGAAATACTCCCTTTTATAGTGCCCTAATTTTTCATAATTGTGGCATTTGATTTAGAATTTATCATATTGTTCACCCTAATTATTACCTTATCATTCTCCACCATATCTGTTTTGTCACGTGCCTTGGTTATTTGAATGTTGATATTTCTGATTTGATTGAGATTTATTATGAGACTCATCCTTCTCCTTCTCCTTCTCTTTTAAACTTGTCTGAATATGCAAGGCCTCTTCTCCTAAAATTTTTGTCTTTTCATTTCAAACTTTGTTTATAGGCCTTAAGGGAACCCATCAACTCATCAACTATCTAGGAATCAAGATCCTTTGACTCCATGATAGCTATGACAATATATTCGAACCTCATTAATAAGGTCCGAAGAATTTTCTTCATAATCTGGAGATCCTTCACATCCTTGTCGTTGACTCTAATTGACAATAACCAACGTCTGCGAGAAATAATTAAATATATTCTCTGATTTTTCCGTTTAAAGAAGCTCAAACTGTTTATGTAGGGTCTTCAACTGAACCTTTTTCACCTTGTCTTGTCTAATATAACAATTGATCAAAAAATCACATACTATATTTATCGTCAAAATATGAGTAATCTTATCATAAATTGACGAATCAATTGATTCATAAATATATATTAATCCTCTATTATTTTTCTTTCGATTAATTATTAATTCATCATTTTGGGCTTTTGCATGAGTTGGTAGATCTCCGAAATCTGTGAACCCATTTGTCACAATATCTGAAAAATCCATGACCTTGAAAAATAACTCCATTTGTGTTTTTTAATGTTGAAAATTTAACCTCCTGTCAAAATTTTCAACCGGACATTGAACGAACTCGTTCTTATTTGCTATCTCTGAAAATGGCTTTGATACCATTTGTTGGTTTTGCACAACAAATAATTAATATAAATAATACTTGTTGAAAAATAGGAATTTAAAGATAGGAAAAACAATAAAACATGACACAATGACATAACGTAGTTCGATACAGTATACCCTCCTGGTACATCGTACCAACGTTCAGAGACCAAAAAACCTACATTGATGTATTATTCACTTCAAAACTTGTCATCTGGTAAATAAGTACATAATACTTAACCTTATTTATAGGGATAAAATATTATAACTCAAGTCTATTCAAGTATAACTTGATATTTATATTTTATATCACATGTCTAATATACCAATTCATAGTATATTAAAACTCTTCCAATCTAATCGTATTTGATGTGGTCACTAATAAATTTATTCATGGTTTATTAGGACTCTCGCATTGATTACCCAAACAAAGTCTCCTTCATGACACTTGAAGAGTTTAGGTGAAATTCTAACAGTATGGCTTTTTATTTCACCATATATAACTTTTCCTCTATTACATTTAACTACCTATAGCTTTTCCTGTCACATTAACCTAGATTTATATATTTTCTTTTCTTTTCACTTCTCTGTCTTTCTATTTCTTTCTATATGCACAGTGCACCCTAGTGGAATTAAATCATGATCTTGATGGTGTACCAAACATCATGAAATGCGCCATCACAATTGCAGAATGAAAAACGTGCGAGATCGAAATGCAATCATAGTTTTCAGGTGAGTTTAGAAACCATTGTTGAGCACTGAGATCATGTATGTCAATAGATTCAATTCTGGTGACAGAATATTCATCGGCTGGGTATTCCTCCTTTACCTATATACAATTTTATTTTTGGGCAAATTGTGAAAAGGTACACTATTTCATACTTATTTGTATAAAAGTATCTAAATATAAAATATATGTGTATAAGTACATTTGTGTGTAAATGTTTGGTGACGAGATACGCTTTTATTGATTTTTAAAATTTTCCTTTACGGAATTGTCCTTTACCTTTATTAATGGGAAAAACAAATATGACAGTTATTTTAGCGACTCAGTTTCCTAAATTTATGGAATATTATTTTTGAATTTTTAAATTATATCTTCCTCTTTCATTCAACTTAAGTTATTCAAATATTAATGTCTTTCGCATATTTGTATAATTTATTTTATTTTATATTTTTTTATCAATCGTAATAAGGAATATATGTTTTCACCTTATATAATATCATTGGTTATTATGAGTGTTTTTTTCATTGGATATTTTAAATTTAAATTTATATGTATGTTATTTGATGTGTTTATAAGTAACAGTAATATATGTCACATTGGCTCGTACATGTCACATTAGCATAGTGGTACACGACAATGTCATGGTGTTACAAGATAATGTCACACTGATATAATTTTAATACCAGCCTATTCCAGACTGAAACCAACCTAGTCACACTGCTACAAACTAAATTCACACTGTTACAAATTAATGTCATACTACTACAAGTCAATGTCATACAACATATATTGACATGACATAGGGCACAATGAATTATCATAGTGGCATAATACATGCAAAAATTGTATGACACACACATCATAAATAATTAAATCTAATGTAAATAAGACTACATAGTATCACAAACAAACAAAAGATGGCGAATTGTGTTCGTGGGTGGAATTAGAGTTGTGAGGAGGTGGTGATGTTGGTTGTGGTCTCGATTAAATAGTGCATGTGGGACGGGAAGGTTTTGAGGGCGGTGATAGGGGTAAGGTCTTTTGTGAGAATGCAATTGTATACGACCTCTTTAGTTTTTTTTTTGGATAAATAATCAATCACTTGGTGTGCATGTAGTACCAAGCACCAGAAGCAAAAAGGTGTGGTTGGAGAAAAAAAAAGTAGATAAAATAAAAACGTTGAGATAAAATAACAATGTTTTTCTTGAGTTATAAACTTTTTTTTCAAAAACTTCAATGATCTCAACCGTCATTCTTCTCCACAATGCACCTTTTGTTCTTCAATGATTGATACTCTGTGTGATATTAACAGTTTGATGCCGACTTTTTCATTTCTTCACTGTGAAACCCTAAAAAATTGATTTTTAAATGACGATTTTCAGAGAATGATGGTTTTGGGGAAATTTTGTTATCCCCGTTTGAAGTTCACACAATCCGGCGATAATAGAGGAAATAATCATAATTGTTATCTCTTTCTTTCCTTCCGAATGTATTCTCACTTGTCTAGAAACTATTCAATTTCTACAAAAAAAAGGGTATTTTAGACTTTGGATATGACATGTGTACCTTTTTATTAATCTTTTTAATTGTGATACTTTTTGCCTTATATTTCTAATAAATAGTACCGATCGCCATAATTCCCTTTTATTTTACCTCATTCTCTACAAAAATATCGGCCTATTACTGTGTCGTCTCATTCAATGACTTCTTTACTGGTTACTTTGTACATTTGAAAATGACCCCGAGGAATTTGACCCATTAATATTCCTCATTCCTCAAGGTGCTGTCTCTTACCAAGAAACAAATACTTCAATGATCAAACCTAGAAAATACCATTTTTTAGCACAACCCCAGATACCCAATTATATAACATTCCCTACTTCTCATCTCTCATTACCACCTCTTCATTCCATCTTACTTGCTCGTTATCACCATTTTCTCTCTCTCTTCACTTCTAATGCTTCAAAGCAAAAGGGGTACAATCATGAGAATCAAAGAAAACAGCCAAGACAAGCTGAGGCGTTACATTCGAGCACCCAAGAGGTTTCTAAGAAAGGCTAGAGACTTCTATGTGGAAAGCCTGGTGAATTTTGATGGAAGAGTTGCTGGCGTTGGCAAAGTGATGGGCGGTCCTCACCCACCATTGGCCAAGCACTTTGGCAGTCGCCCACGGAAAAGTAAGGATAAAGATGAGCTCATGGAGCTTTTCGGGTCAATATCTAGGTGGAATATTGGGAGTAAAGAAGAGACTGATGTGCAGGGTGTAAATGAAAGGAGGGGGGCAGTGACTGGATATAATGGTATGGGGAGGAGTTTCAGCGTTGGGTTGGGAAGGATAGGAACAATTGATGAGGAGAAGCCATATGATTATGAAGAAGAAGAGATCAATGTGATTGATATATTGTTTTCAAGGAGCAGAAGTTATGCTGTTTCAAATAGGAGGGTTGAATTTTATTAGATTCCCCCGGGGGGGCCTCGGGGTGGGGGGGGGGGGGGGGGTCAATTGTTTTTTTTGTCTTGATATCTAATTTGTTCATTATTCTACATGAAATGCAATTCATGCTTTGGAAAACAAGTTAACTGTGGTACCAGATTCAACTTTACTGTTGACTTTCTCTTAGTAATCCTTTTAATTAATTAAATTGATTCTACACTTTTCTAATTAAAGTCAGTCACAATAATGTTTTGGCGAAATATAACTGCAATATGACATGCGTTCATACGGGCAGTAAAGTCTCTTATCTATCTAATAAAATAACTAGTAATTTAAATTTCATTTCTGCATCTGTTTCCTATTTATATCTATCAGATCATTTATTTCTATCATAAGTGAAATCATTTAATTTTATTATTTTGTGTTTCAATATATTTTTTATTTCAGACATTATTCATATACGAGTATTGTTTGAGATAATGTATTTTGAAAAAAAATTGATTTAAAAAAAAATAATAAGTAAAAATTAATTTTCAAATTATATAATTTAAGAAAGGGAAGAAAAGAAAATTTTTTATTTGATATAGTGAGATTAATTTTTTTGAGCTCTCAAATTTTAAATTGTATCGTGTTTTTAGGAACGGGTTATGACTAATTTTATCATACTTCATCTATAAGTAATACTATTTGAATCTAAAAATGTGACCTAATTTATTGACATAACACTCTTTTTGAATCAAAGCTGGGATAAGTTGCAAGTCCGAGTCCTATAAAATGATCGAAATATTGTAATTTTACCCTTGAATACTCAAAAGAAATATGCCCTCCGAGTTTAATATGGCAAAGGCCAATCTTTTAGAGAGAAAAATTTTCAAAAAAAAAATGTTATAGCCAACACAGGCCTATTGTATCTGGTGTATTTTTAATCCGCGCATACCTCCCGAGCTGAAAATCATTGTTTTCAAGATAACAAAAAAAAACCAGAATATTTTATGATATCCAAAGATAAATTAAAGATCAGTATATATATTCGTGAAAAAAACGTAGAAATATTAATCCACTTAGTTAGTCTGAACAAGTTTTAGTTGATTTTTTATTTATATAATCCAAGTGCAACAATTTTTGGCTCTTTCACATTTAGCAAACACTAATTTATGAAATATGATGTAATAAATATAAATGGGTTAACCCACCTATCCATGAGTTTCTCGCTCGTACCTGATCGGAATATTATTTATGTTATGTTAAATGGGTAGAACTAGCTTTTATTTTGGTGAATTTCATTTTGCATCCTAAAAGATTTAAGAATATCTACTTTGTACCCTTAAAGATTATATTTTTCATATTACATATTGAATGTATTAAAGAGTTCTCATGTGGCCCTTCTACTAACCTCTGTTATTTATTCCGCCAAAGCCACAGTAGTTAATAAAAGGGTTACATTACAATTCTTTTATTACATTAAGGGTATAATGTAAAAAAATTTAATTTTTAAAGATACAAAGTTAAAAACTCTTAAATTTCTCAGAGTGCAAAGTACAATTTCTCCGTTTTATTGAGTTTAGTTGAATCGTGAAAAGATTATGCAAAGTTTTTTGCTTGGTTTTACGATTGGCAATGCTAAAACATGATTTTTTCTTTCTTTTTTTTTCCCCACAAAATCCACACGAAATAAGATTGATGTCAATATGCCGGGGTGAAACCAGAAATTCAAGACTAGGGTAGCCAATCAAGAGTGGACCAAGATATAATAGGAGATCCAAATGCCACGTTAATCGATAGAGTAATATCTCAAAAATTAGGGAAGTAAATTAAAAGGTCAAAATGCAAATTCTACTTGGCCTCTATTCAAGGCAATCACAAAACTCTTGTTGGCATCGTCCTGTATGTGTTTGGACAATTCCTAGCATCCATTGAAAAGGACAACACAAGCAGACTGGTTGGATGCGCCAACTTGGCTTGCCTAATGCTTGTGATATAATAAGAGAGATTTGGTCTATTAATAAATCGGATTTCAAGTTATATCGGTTGAATTCGAGTTCAAAAAGTCGTATAAGCATTAATACACTGATAGTCCAATCCGAAATTCAAATATGTTATATCGAGTTGGGTGAATATTACTTTGCACCCTAAAATATAATTGAATTCTCAGTTTATACCCAAAAAGATTACTATTCTATCATTGCACCCTCAATTATATTAAAAAAAATAGTCATGGGGTCCAAACTAAACCTTTGTTGCTTTGTCCGAAAAAAGATATTTCTGTATTTTTGTAGATTTTACTATTTTTATGGACAATTATTTGTATATTACTTAATCTTAAGTATTTTATACTACATTACTACCATTTTGTATGATTGAGTATAGAACGCGAGAATGTTAATTGACTTCATTGGACCAGATAAAACTTTTTTTTCTGAGACTTCCAAAATTCAGAGATTCAAATATGGAATATAAAAAAAATTATTGGATATTCAAATCAATCTCGAGCTAGGGTTTTGAATCTGATTAGAATTTTGATGTAATAAATTTTGCTTTGAATCCAATTTGTTTATCCATCCTACTTATTCGATCACTTTCTTTGTAACAACTGCACTCTCTGAATAAAAAATTAATAGGTTATTGTAATAACAAAGAATCAACTATTATAATTTTTGAATTTTGAATCTAAGCATATGCGAAAGCACTCATAAGAGGGGGACATAAGTGATAAAGCCTTACTTTTAGCAATGATTGGTGTCTTGATCACTTCTTGGTTGTAAAATCTTGAGAGAATCAAGGGTGATCAATTAGCTTAAACGCAATTAGTTTCATGTGCAGTAGCTTGAAAATCACTCTTTTCAGATTGTCTATTACTCAACGCTTCTTATTTTAAGTTAAATTCCATGTGACTAATGAATTTTAAATGGTTAGACCAAGATTTTATTGAGTTAAATTGTATTGTGAAACGATTATGCCAAAGCATGATCTTCTTTCTTTTCACAAATTACATGAAAAAAGCTTGATGTCAATTACGGTGGTGAAACCATAAATTCAAGACTAAGATGGCCAATTAAGAGTGGAACAAATTACAATTAAGGTGAAAAACCAAAAAGTCAGAATGCAAATTCTACTTGGCCTTTCATCAAAGCAATGACAAAAGTTTGTGGCACCGCCCTACATGCTCTTGGACATTACCAAGCATCCATTGCAAAAGACAACACAGCTGCAGGCTGGTTGGATGCGGCAACTAGGCTTGCCTAATGTCTATGATCTGCTAAAAGACACTAACGGCTTGTTTGGTGGCCATATTAGAAATGTATAAATTAGATAAAATAATACAGTCTCATAGAATATAAATGAACAAGAGATATGATTAAATATGATATTAGAATAATACGTAATTTTATCTAATACTAGTTGGTGCACACATGCTTTCCACGTGGACCATTTTGACTATGAAAATATTGTATAATAGAGACTTGAACCTTATTTTTTTCCAAAATTCACAACTCAATTAAGCATTGACGAATTCCGCATAGAATAGCTAAAGCTAGGGGATTAATGAACTGAAGAGAAGGCACAAAACCTGTCAGAATTAGCTGTCTACTTCCCTTGGTAAAAGCTTATCAGATTCTTCTTTTGTTGCCAAATCATATTTTCTCAGAAAGCTTAGTTTTAATTTCTCAAAGCTTAGTTTTAATATATATATATATATATATCTCAAACAAAAAACAATACATGGTTTTCATAATGTCCACCCCAAAGGACCATGCAACACTATTTAATCTTGCAATACAATTTGAGAACCTTATTCATCTTCTCTTCGGCCAAATGGATAGTCAAATTCAATGATTGAGAGGAGAAGTAATAATGACATTCAAACACAATAAAGAAATACCTTAGTTATCCCACAAAAAAAAACTGAGCTACGCAACCTCACTATGTGCGATAAGGTAAAATTATAAAATGTTATGTCATCATGGAGTAACAAAATTATCGTTCATTGTGAGTTATTACACTGCCACTAGCCAAGTATATCTTGGGGATACACTACTTGTGAGATCCCGTATTAAAATTAAATAAATATAATATTATCTTAAGAGTTCTCCTAAGATGAATAAAATAATGATATAAACTTAGAATAATTGTTAAAATATTAATTATGAAATTTAAGTTTCAAGCGTATTTGACTTTCAGAATTAATTGAATTTTAGAGCTGTTTAAGTTTGAGAAGGGTGACTTAGTAATTTTATAAATATTTTTAGATCAAAATAAGGTTTTCATTAAATCCAGAATGTCAAAAAACAATAGAAGAGGTTATATGAGTTGTATTAGAAGTTTATGAGTATTCTAAAGTTAAAACCTATTTTGGATAGGATTAGGGAAAAAAAGAATTTGACATAACCTTCGTATTTTGGATATAAATTTTTATCCTGATCTCTGATTGATCTGAAATTGTTACGTTAGAAAATAGACTTCAAGGACTACAAAATTGTATTTCACGAAAATATTGTGAATCGGCGTTTAACTAAGTCAAAACTGAGTTGGAAGTTAGGGGCAGACTTCTACCCGCGTCCACACGGGAATTCTTTATTTTTCAATCTATAAATACCCTGGGGCTGTGATATAAAGAGTCTTTACCTATTTTTCAACCCCAAGAAACCTGAAAAATTTTGACGAAAAGAAAAGGAAGAAGAACGGGATAAATCTTGAAGGATTAACTTGAGGTAATCGCAACGAAACATAATAGGATCAAGATTCCAGAATCAAGGTAGGGGTTCTTTCTCATATTCACTCATTGATGATTAGGGTTATAAAATATATCTTTTTCATCCTTATTATGATATAAATATTAATTTAAAATGCTTGTACATTGGTTTGAATCCATAATTCGTTTCTTGAACAAAATACATGATTTATTTCCAAGGTCTATTCTTTTTTGATTACAAAACCATAGTTCTTGATTACAATCAATTCAAATATTTTTTCTGTGGGATCTCTTGCATGTTTTGTTGAATTATTCCTTTGAAAATTTTATGGAT